ATTTAATTTTAACATTAGGAGAATGAAAGAATCTTTTCTTAATTGAAGTCAGGACACTGTCTTCAGGTCTGATAGAGTTAAATGGAAAATATTAACTTGAATGAATAGGGTTAAATGCTGCTTTAAAGTTCTCTCTGCAAGTGCCTGATATTGCCACGACTTGCTGCAACATTGAAAGAGCATGTCTGCATGGTTGAGATGCTTACCACCTTTTTTCTTTAATGGGCTTCATTAGCTTTGGGTCCTGGATAGCTTTTCCCCTTTAAAATAGTTGTTGCATTTGGAAGGATGGATTGGTAGGTAGTCCAATTGTTGAGGAAAATGCCTCAGAAGAGAAAGTCACTTGGTTGCCTTGGGTTTAATGCTCATAACTGCTGATCTTGTTTGGTGTTAATCTCTTGTCGTGAAGCCCCGTTACATCTTGTTTCAGTATCTTTTTTTTTTTTTTACCTTTAATTGCATATCGAAATCTCGTTTATCTCGTAAATAACTGCCCTATTCCTCTTATCCTCTCACTATATCGAACTAGACCAGCCCTTTGGGTAAGTAATTGCCTACTGTGGATCTATGAATCATTTGGCCCAATTAAAAGCTTTATGACCTTCACAATTTTCACCAATAACAACTGGGGAGTGGTATGACCAGGCCTGGTCCTTGTGCGGTTATGCTTCTGGGAAACAGTAGATTAAAAAGACATCATCTGCCTACCATCACCGAGTTAGCATAACTTCTGTGAGCCTATACTCAGAGAATGTAATTTCGATGGTCAGTTTATATGCTTTCCATATCAGTCTATGAGACTATATTTCTTTCAGTTGTCCTACCTGATTTTTTTTTATTTCTTTCAGTTGTCCTAACTTGAGCTTTTCTATTTCTTGCCTTTAGGTTCATCTGGAGCTTCTATATTGTCCTTTAGGCATGAACAATGGGTTTACTAACCCTTTTACTCAAAACTTTTCAATGACCTCCTTAGAAAAGGTTCTTAAAAGTGGTGGGGAAGCTGCTGAAAATGGAAGTGACGTGAAACCGAAAAGAAGGGAAGTGATTATAAGAGGGGTACTTTCTGTTACTGTGATTTCTGGGGAAGACTTGCCACCGGCAGATCTGATGGGGAAGGCTGACCCGTTTGTTGTGCTTATTATGAAGAAAACTGGGACCAAAAACAAGACCAGGGTATTTCCGTCTTCTTTTAATTGTGGAGTTTGTCAGTAATATCCTGCATTTAAGATTACTTGCTAAATTTTCTTCCCGTCTCTCTCCATCTCCTGGCCTGCACACTGTAATTCATGGAACCTCTCAGTGAGGTCACTTGGTCCATTTATTGTGATCTTGTGTGCGTATAGAATAAGTTTGGCTGTGTGCTCAGAATAATAATTAACTTGATTTCTGATGTCGTTTTGTTCTTGTAGGTTGTGAATGAAAGTCTGGATCCAGTTTGGAATCAGACTTTTGACTTTGTTGTTGAGGATGGATTACATGATATGCTAATTGTGGAACTCTGGGACCATGACACATTTGGGAAGGTATGGATATCCTGCTTTTGTATCAGATTTTCTTTGCTTGTCTGCATTGTGATCTTGTGGATATAGACAACAGGAGCTGCTAGCTATAAATGAGCGGATAGGTTTGACACCTTGGACAAACTAACGAGACTATTTCTGAGGACTTGGGAGCAGTTTGCATTTTTACCGAATTGATCAGATTGATTGCTCGCGGTTTTTCCAATCTTGATCAAGTTAAAACCAACTTACCATTGGTTTTAGAGACTGCCCCCTAACATTTCATTATTTGGCATAATCTTGAAATGCCATATTGTTCATATTCGTTTTCCAACCTCAATTCATCTAGTCTGAGTTCCCAAGGTGATCAGATATTGGGCTTTCGCAAATCCTCTTGGTAAGGGAGCTCTGTCCTGATTGATTGCGTTGAGGTAGTCCCACTCTGCAGTAATGTTGAAATTAGGATGCTTGACGTTGCTAAGGTGAACCACGAATTCCATGAAGTTGCTTTAGCTGCACCTTCCTAATATTAGAAGTGATTAAGGGTAAGATAATGTTCTCCATACCATTCCAGGCAATGAATGTATAACTTGCAGAATGCGTCAATATGGTCATTGAATAGAAATTAGAATACTATATAGGTCACAATCTTTGTGATTTAGAGCCAAAACACTTCAGGAGCCATCTGTGTGAATGCAATGGTAAATAGATAACAAATAGGAAGAAAAAATCTACTCGACATCAGAGGCTCCCCAAAAGGATTAACCTGGAAAAGAAAAATTGAGTGAGCAAATCTTTAAAAGCATTGCATGATGTCTGTGACTGTGCTGATGGAAACTGCCAGATTGGTCTGAGTGTCTTGCCGTCAAGCATGAGCCTGGAAGGTTCAAGGAAAGTGTTATTGGTTACTTGTCTATTTCTTGCTCTTTGATGGTTCATCTAACAAAACAATTGAAATGACTGATTGAGGATCTGAAAAGTAAGTTATCCGGCCTGGGTCAGTTAGTGATATGAAAAGACAGTTGAGGCTGGTAATGGGGGGGTTCACTCTCATAACCATGAACAAAGCGTGTTAAATTGGAATACTTTGAACAAGATGGCACGTAGTTATTGAAATATGGGCACAGGTGGTTTGCTTGCAGTGAAAAAACAATTTTCAGGTTGCGTGGGTTTAACTTTCAGTCCTATGAACAAAACAAGCTGTACTGATGTATTCAAGCATACACATGTTATGTTCTTTACACCCCCTCCCACCCAACAAACACACACACACACACACACACATCACCACCCCCGGGGGGTGGGGTTGGCCGATGCTAAGAATATTTGAATATAATATGAGGCAACTATTAACATTTGAGCCTCGTGGGAAAAAACCAAAATTTTCAGCTACTATAGTGAGAATTCTCAGTAGTGACTTGGGCCTTATATTCCTGAATACATGCTCATTTTATGTGTTTGTCAAAATTATATTTGTTTCTTCTTTGGCTGTGTAGGACTATATGGGAAGGTGTATCATGACGCTGACAAGGGTTATATTGGAAGGGGAATACAAAGACAGCTTCCAGCTAGATGGGGCTAAATCCGGAAAACTGAACTTACATCTCAAGTGGATGCCACAACCAATATACCGCGATTCCTAAAGGTCGTTGTTGTGTATCATATGTTGAATTTTTAGCTTGTGAAAGAATATGTCCATGTTCCATAGAAGCTATTGGTCTGACAGCCACCTGCAGCAAAGTTGATTAATAAGCCTCCAGGGATCAAATTTTAGAGGTTAGATTGTGTACATAGGCTGTTTCAATATTGCAGAGCAGACTGTAAAGGTGCGGGAACTTCTGGTGAAGCTTTGGGGAAATAAACGCAAACAGCTATAGGCTAGAAGATTTAGAAGAATTTTTTGTGTGAAATAGTCAGATGCCCAACAATATGTATCTTGCAGTGCTCCCCTCTTCTTTTTGGTGTTATGATATTTGTTTGAAAGATTTATTTCATTGGGGTATACCTTTTTTCTTCTTTTTATCAAAATATGATTGTGGCATGTTCTTAAGACGAAAATCAGTCTTTTTTTTTTTGGGGGGGGGTTAAGTAAATCAGTTATTTTGATGTTTATAGGACCTAAGTGAATGTTTTGAAATGAGGATGTTTGCCTTTTGTAACAAGTAGACCGACGATATGAACTAAGAGATATTCCTACTCTTACCCAAAAGTAAGGCTGTTGGTCTTTAGCATTGATGACTCTGTCTTCTACCCAAAATCACCGAGTGACTCTCTGTCTCAGTTACTTTAGAAGATAGGAGGTCACCATAGTTTTCTTGATTTCAGCCTTAATCTGTTGGAAGATATCGCCTTTAGCTTGTACCAATGGTGAAGATTGAACCACTTGAACAAAAATTTACTGCAAGCACCGTCTACTATATTGGTCTTGCCCGGTTTATATTTTGAAGTCAAATTAAACTCTGGCAAAAACTCTTGCCATTGGACTCGTTTTGACATAAGTTTTTTTTAGTATTTAACTAGTTTATTGTCTCAAACTTCCCACTCTATATATAATGTCTCTGAAGCTGCTAGTATTATACCTTCTATTTCTTTGGGCGGATTTCTTGTTTACCTTCTTTGCTAAATGCAGGATTGAAATGTGTAATATTGTTGTACCCCATTTAGTCATGTTGTTTAGTCCATCTACATTGTATGAGCTTTTTATGTATTCAACAAAGTATGTGGTCCCTGAGCCATTGGCCGGTGAACTCGGTTCAAACGAGCCGTAACCAATATTGTGAATGTAGAATCGCAGCTGTTTCTTTCCCAAAAATTGGAGTTGGCTCCGAATCAAAGTAAGTTCATTTATAAAAAAGAGAATATCTTGAGCTTAATATTAAAATTCATTTAGTAAACGAGCGAAGCCTGAGATATTACTTGTTTGGTTCTCGTCTGGATTTGTCAGTGTATACACGCATATAGATGAGTCGAGCTAGATCTTCAACTTTAGCTTAAACTCGAACACAAGTTGTTGCTCAAAGCTTGAGCAAAATGATTAAAGGCTTGTCACATTCCAACGAGTCCTTCTTGCAAATGAACATGCCACGCCTGAACAGTCAGTGTTTGGCCCTGTTCAACTCATCTACAACTCTGTGAATAAAGGACTCTTGATCTAGTTTATAAACAGCCCTCCAACTTGGATTTGTGCTCGGGTTTGGCTATACATTCATCTGTCTAAAATATGATAACCCAGTCACTCAAAAGCACTAAAAAATACCTCGTTTTCAAGGACACAAAAAACTTTTGGTGGTTTCGATAGAAAGCACACAAAATTTTGGCCTTTCGTTCCAGATGTCTAAAAACTATGGGCCGGCCTGAATTCAGGCACAGCTCACCTGGCCATTGATAATTCCGGTAATTGGTACCAGGAGAGGGCGGCGCCACTATGGCAGCAGCATCAGAAGATGCAAAATTATCGTTAGTCATCATTCCCATCTTACTAATCAACAACATAATGAGGGAAAGACAGCATCAGTGTGTCTGAAGAGCAAAATTGTCAGCCTGGCTGATGTCGAATTAATGAGTTCAGCTGAATCTGCAATGTCTGTCGTTTACTTCCAAATCAACAACAAATGACATCTGATCCAAAATATGTTCACTCTGCTCGTTTTTCCGACTTATTCTATGAGTCATTTTCGTACTCAAGCTTCTTACCCCTTTCAAAAAACACATAATATCATGAATAACAAAGTCATTACAGCATCACATAAGGTTTCCTGTGCATACATAGGGACCAAATGTTCATGACAGCTACTTTCCCTTGCTTGAAAGTGTGTTCGTACATTAGGCGCACCTTCTTAATCTCTCACTAAGTGGCACATTTGCAATGGCTGAGTGGAGGTGTCTTTTGTTGAGTTTTCTCCTCCGCCGATTGTTTGCCCTGCAAGAACACAACATGCATAGTTTAAAAACAAACTGCGTCATGAAGCATAAAATTCAGTGATGCAAATGTTCAGACGTTCATTAGTCACAAGATTTTGATTCATAATGTTTTTCAATCTCCAAACAAGTTTCCTACTCAGCTTCCACATATATTACCAAATAATTTTGGGTTGGGCTTGGAACAAGGACTCGTGTTTATTTTCCCATGAGAGATGTTGCAGGATCAAGTGTGGGAAGCAGCCTCCCCAAAACAAGGATAAGGGTGCCAACAATTAACATCACTTGGATCCTGTTATAGGCGGGAGCCTTGTATGCTGAGTTGCAACTTTATATAAAATAATTACAATCTTATAAACCTAAGTGTGAAGCTTGTCCAGCCTTAAATATAGCTTGTAAGACAGTGGACCAACTTGAAAAGGCAAACAATTTCAAAACAAGAAATCATCATGTAGATGCAAAAACAGCTCAACTCTTGTACAGGCATAGATTCAGACCAAAATAGCAGTAGCTACCAGAAATTCATGTATCAGCTGTTTTATTTGTGCAAACACCTGACGTTATTTATATATAAAAATCTTTTTGGAGACAAATATGTCATTATTGAAACATATCTATGCTATAAAGAACCTACACATTGAACTTGCAACTGAGAGAAAAACGTGTCTAGATACTAGAATTGACCTGCAGATACCCAATGATGTCATTTAGATGTGGATTGATAATGAAAAAAGTCGTGCAAAATTATCCAAAGTAGTGCTTATTCCCCCACGTGGAACAATCAGTAATCAAACTAACAAATAAACTTGAGCGTGAAAGTAAATCTTCAATCATGTATCACAAAAATTTTGAATAATTTGAGGTTGAAAAAATTCTCAAAATTTTGGTGATAGTAATCTCTAACTGGTGAAAACATAATAGGGTAATACAATTCAATATAATTATGATATGTATTGATTTAATAATGAAAATGAAATCATTGTCCGAGTCATAACTCATAAGGATAAAAGAAGAAATCGAGCAGATAATAGTAGTTTGGAATTATGTTGGATAAAATAATATGGTCCTATTTAAATTTATATGATGACTTAACAGTCTTACTGGTTTTAATGAAGCAAGCCAGATTTTTTTTGATACAACATAGCACACTTCCAACGGAACCATTTGTGCTTACTCAAATTGCCAGAAACCTTCCCAGATGGACAAGAGTTCATAACAGCAGCTAACCTCAGAATTCACCAAGGTCAACAAGTTTGGTGATCCCTTTACATTTTTTAAGTGGTGGGGGTTGGTTACTACGTTGCACCAACTATAAGCTGGGGATTAAATTTTGGATCTGCCTGACTCAATGAGAGTGATAAAAAAGGCCATCACACAAGTTTTGTAGTTCCATTGCCCCAATTATAGCAAGAAAGCAAACCGTACTCACCAAAACTGATTGTGCAATATGAATGAGTCAGTTGGCACTCTTTTTCCGTCATCGTTGCGGTTCCAATGGTAAAGTGCATGTGTTCTGTTCTTTATTTCCAATGTAGAATGCCCATAACTGGCTTCCCGAAATGCAGAATAATCAGGTTGGGGATCTCTAAACCTGCAACCAATAATGAAACGTGACATCAATAGAAAATACGAATATGAATTTCTTGTGGGCCATCATCAGTATATCACAACTAGGGAAAGATTTTGCACACTGCAATTGAACTCACCTTCCAGCCAAACCTTCCTGATTTCCTCCATCTCCAGCAGTAATGTAAACAGGAGCTGATTTGTCTGGTACAGGATAGCGATCACCACCCGATACATTGTAGTGTATGTTTGAGATGCGATACTAAAATGAAAAAGAATTCTCATTATAAAACTTCACCTTAACAAGCAAGCAGATTTACTGTAATACAAGAGTAGAGCAGCATCTCAAGGCATTTTAATATGTAATTAAAACGTGGTGTCGTATTCTACCACTAATATAATTGGAATATTTGTTCGGAAAGGAACATAAGTGGAATATTACAAGAGGCATGTCAATATTTTCATCTATTCAAGATGGAACACCTGAATGTAAACATTTTTTTCCAATATTTTAAAGTAGACTCAAGGGATCAAATCTTCCTCCTCCCAGGGTTATCAGCCAGGATGTTTGTTTTGTCACTCACGAGCGGGGCGAAAACAAAGCATGGGGAATTCTTCGATTTTTCGGTGGTGGGGTTTTGTTCTTTTTCCTTTGGAGAGAATTGGGGGGGGGGGGGGGGCTTTGAGGTCACCATGTCTGAGGCAACCAGTACGTGGAAATATGTCAAAAGTTAGCATGCCAAATTGCATCCCATGTAACTGTAACCACCTTTAGGTCATGGCCTTTTTGGATGGAGCTGGCTAGAAGAACAATTCAGTTTTTCCATGCACAATTCCATTTGGAAAGAGCCATTATCAATTGGTACATAATTTGAGTGGACAGACAAACCATGAAATCTTCTACAGAGGGTATATTATTTATTTATTTTTTTTACTTCTGTTATATTTTAATACAATCATTTCATTTCTTCCTTGAACAGGGAAGGAAAAAGGATGGGATGAAGAGCCAAACCGATCTCTCGTAAGCGTGGACATGGCCAGCAAAGACTACATCAACTTTGTGTTTGACAAACCAATACTCAAACACAGCTCGCATACTTTCTCCCTCCATGAAGTGTGCTTCATTACTGCTGTAAATTGGGGCATGCATAAGAACAATTAGCCAAGGTGTCTTCTCTCTATCCACCCTTTTAAATTCTTCTTGAAGCCACCTCCATTGTGGAGTATATTTTACTGTCAAAAGATAGATAAATTATGATTTACAAAGTCCAGAAACAATGGGGAGATTCATTGTCATGATAAGAAAAATAACCAATGAGGATTAATGGAAAAAGGCAAGCCTCACAATATAATCCAAAAGAGGAAAGTTGAAATGTTTGGATTATCCCACAAAATAACAAAAGGAATTGACTAGGGCGCATATTTGTTAAATTATGATGTGAGCAGCAAATGTCCCAAAATAAGGATGAGGAAGCTCTCAGAAAATGCTAATCACAAGAACCATATGCCTCTTAACGAAGACAAAATAACTACACAAGAATGCACAACCACCTCCTCACAAGCTCTCAAGGGGAGTAACAGTGACCTCTAAAAGCTAAAAACGTATAGAAGTCTCTTGTAAATAAAATCCACTGTCATTTGTCAATATCTGGCTCTCCCTTTGAGGCAAAATCCAATTGGTGAAATCTTACCCAACCCACCCCAGCATTCCAATTTCCTTTGGCCGCGGTATGAACAGATTTATAAAGATGCTTCCTTAGGCCTTTGAAGAGAGCATGAATCTATGCCTCAATTGCAAAATCACAAAAAGAAAAAAAGAATAACCAGCTGTTGTTAGTGAACTGATGAGGCGCAACATCAAAATTTTTCGTGACATACCTAAAGTAAGTCAAGTGGACCCCTCCTCATATCCTCAAGCATGGAATCCTTATTATCAGAGACTCTAGATTCCTCTCAATATATAACATTTCAATCATAGTCAAAAGAGTGTCATAAGGTTTTAGCTCCTCTCTTGCCAAAGCCACTGAAATAGAACATAAGAAAGAGCAAATATCTAAAGGGGCAACTTGGTAATACCCCACTGGGACAGAAGATCAAAGTCACCAATTCTTGAGGCACCAGCCCCCTCAACAACGGAGATTGATCTAGCAAAGTCTGGAATGCATTGGGTTTTTCTCCTAGGCTAGATGAAATTATAAGTAGCCATGTTTGGATAATTGGGTATATCACCCCCGAAAAAAGGTCCACAGCCTTTAACAACTTTTCAACACAATTTTGCAAAACAAAGTGGAGGTATATGTTACAAGATAACAAACCATTCATTTCAATCTAAATTGGGCAAAACGAAGTATATAAGTCGATACTACTTATTGCCACCTTACTGTTTCCAGTGTAGTTATTTCTCGAGTGTAACTCACTATTGTGCTTCTTAGTTCACGTGATTTTATACAACAACACCAACAAACTCAAGAACACCACCATGACCAAATAGAGACAAAAGGGGTAGCACAAGTAGGTTTCATCTTTCAAGATTGGTACTTGATGCCATCCCAAACCAAGAAGAAAATTTTCTGACCTTAGTTGGTATATAATATCCATCTATAGAAGAATAGCAATCTACTAGTAATAATTGTCAATTGGTAATCAAAGTTAAAGTAACCAAAAGCAAACAAGAGGCAGAGGAATGAAAATTTACCAAATGGAGAATAGCTGGATAGGATAATTATATGGGCAGATGCACGTCTGATGGCATACCAGAGAGGATTGCTGCTTTTAGAGGCTGCATACGGTGTAGGGTATCTATGGAGATACGATTTGAAAGGAGTAACTTCCCCCTAATCATAGATATTACAGTAGTCAATAACTGCACATAAGTGTTCTAATAGATTCTTTGGTTATGATGGACAGAAATGTTGAACAAAAAATGATCATGTACATCTCTGGAATTAAATGTGCTTTATGTAATTTGGCTGAGCAATGTCAAGTACGGTATCTCCTTTAAATTGTCATTGCCAACCCTACTCCACCCGTCAAAAAAGTCATTTTCAAATGGTTAAATGTTTTTAAAGCAACAAACTCAAAACCAATTGGCAATGAATGTAGAGGCACAAAAAAATTATATACCAATTTGGCAGGAGTTATTTTATTGATTTGAAAGAAGTTCTAACAGTAACATTTCTCATCATGTGCTGAGAATTGAAATTAGTGCCAAAACCTTAATAAAAGACAACAAAAACACATTCAGATGAAAGCAGTGGAGTCCTGTCATTTGATAACCTCAATGATATCTACAGGAGAAGATTTCAGGACAATCCTGACTATTTATTATATATATATTCAAAAAGGTCCACAAAATTCTCACCATTGCTCAAAATCTGAACCTAAGGTTCATGGCTAGCCAATGAATCCATCTGTGCTCCAGTTGGTTATCTCAAATTCATTCCCCAGTCAAGGACAAAAATCCCTGCACTACGTTTCAAATCCTAGCCCTAGATAAGTGGACACAAGTGTTCATTGCCACTGTCAACTGACAACTTTGGTTATTTTAATGTAGTTCTATTTTACAAGTAGGAGATGATAAGAGGGAAAAGGTACACATGGAACAAATTGGGCCAGGATGTGGGGAAATGAGGCAAATGTGGAATGCTTTTTGAAGCTTCTAGAGCCTTGGACCATTATGTTTAAATGATAAGCTAAAGCAAAACAATAACCAAAGTAACCCGAATGATGAAAAGAGGAAAAGAAATTATCAAAATGCACGCAAGTAACCCAAGTGGTACATATTTGAACACTCTACCATGTATGGCATGTAATCTATTTCATGATTTCCAGCAGCCCAAATCCAGGCCTGAGATGCAGCACTTCTTTCAATAAAACGACCCCATGTATCCCAACGAACACCAACATCATGATATTGATATCGATCAGCATAAGAAAGATCTCCAACAAACAAAACAGCCTCTCCTCCACTCTGCATGTAATGCTCAACTGTGGAAAGAGAATTATATGTTTGGCCCAGATCACCTAAAACATACAGATAAAAAAATTTGTTAACAAGAATCTGGTAATTATGATAATAGAAAATTAGAGAGAATTGCATCCGAAAAAAATTGTGCATCCAGATACCTTAAGATAAGTTACCACATACTATGTAACAAGTTACATAAATGTTGAGCCCAGAACAACCACATAGCAGAATAGAAAGAAATAGTAGTATGTTTGTTGTATTAACTGTAAGCACCTCATGCCATGCAAAAATCTAGTCATATTGCTGGCCACTACAAAATTTTATTTCACCCAATCTATGCCAACCATCATCCCATCTGTGTCATCACTGGAGAACATCAGAACTAGTAATACAACCAATATCCTTTTTCATCTTCAAGAATTACATAGGCCATGTATGCCCTCTAATCCATTGCCTCCAATAAAGCAAAATCACCGATTCATAGACCAAAAAATAACAGAAGTCCTACTGCTTGAGCACTAGAAGTAATCCTGTGTCTGTGCCAATGACATTGCAGCAATACCTCTAATACACATCCTGCAAAAATCTATGTTTATTTCCTTCAAGCTTAGCATGTAATCCAATCCTTTCAACTCTTTCTTTGCTATAAACTTTGTCTGCAACTACACGTTGTCAGAATATTTCCATCAACTGGTGAGTTCATTTACCATCTAGATAATTGCAAAGGCGAGTATAAAGATCTGACTGGTTTAGGTTCATCTACATCAATACTTTTCTAGCCTATTGGTGTTGATGGATTCCAATCAATTGGGGGAAAGAACTCATCAAAGAAAGATAGACATGCATCTGCAATTTCCACTTAATTATTTGTACTTTCAGGAAGCACGTGGAAGAAGCTCTGGGTGAGCTGCAATGTATCTGGACATCAGTGTTCGTGAATGTTTTTAACTGAAGGATTCTTGGCATCAAGCATCGTAAGTTTTAGTGATGCAACTATGTGATGGCATAAGGAAAGTGCTAGATCAAATAGTCTATATTGGAAGATCTTTTCAAGAGGGCATATATAATTAGTTTTGTTTTAAGTAAGAAACAAGGGCTTATTCGTCTTATGAAATTAGTGATATTATCTAACCAAAACTATTATAGTCAACTGTTACAGTAATTAGAGACCTATAGATAGACCAGCTTATTTTTACTGTCTCGGTTAATCTTTATAATATCATCCTTTGGCATCCTACATTACTTTGGGACTATGAATTCACTAACTATAGTAAAGTTTCACCCTACCTTTTTGTACAAATGTATAGCAATTAAATGTGGGGGAGAGGGCTTGGGAAGCCTTCCCTTCCCATGTGCTTGATCCTCCTACCGTTGGCATATCAAGTTAAATTTAAAAAAAAACGTCCAATCAAATCCTTCTACGTTGGGCAGGTAATCAATCTCTCTACCTTCCCACTCCTTCAACTTCTTAGTCACTCCTCTCTTTTAACTATCCTCGTATCTTTGACACTTTTACACAAATTAGACATGTTGAGGAAGGGTACGGAGGGAGATACTACGAAGGGGTGAGGATGTAAGGATGGATATGCTGGGATGGGATGGCGGTGCACTAGTATGTCATATAGTAGACTTTTCATCCAAAGTTTCCGCTATTTTCCATCAGATGGCAATCACAAGACAAATTCAGATATTTGTACTCACCACACAGCAGCTTAGTGTCTCAAGCACTTGAGAGAAAGTGTCAAGATTTTCTCTTTTAAAAGTTTTGTACTCACCACACAGTGCAGTTTAGTGTCTCAAGTACTTGAGGGAAAGCATCAAGATTTTCTCTTTTAAAATCAGAGACAAACAAAACTACTCACCTATAATCCCGAATTTGTAAGGAGCATCTGGATGAATCTCTGGAGGTGTTTGAAACCAAAATTTCCGAGCAGAATCACCATTTCCAATCTTGTAATAGTACTTTGTGTTGTACTAAAAACAAGAAACATCCAGTTCATCATGAAACAAATTTCAAAACAAAAAGAGCTGAGAATTTAAGACCAGACAAGCAATGTTAGAATAATACAATATCAAATAGTGAAAACTTAACTGTGTCATTTGAAACTAATTTTTGTACCATCATTACTACAAAACCTGTTTGTGTTGCTTTGGAACACATAAAAAAACCCTGCATTTTTTTTTGGAAAATGCCTACCACAATTGATTTTTTGAAACAATTTCGGAAAACCCAAAAATTACCAGTCTGTTTTTTTTTGCCCTTCAAAATTCATTTTGTTTTCTTAACGGACAAAGCGGGAATAATAGGCCAAATGATCTGAATTTTTGTTTACTGTTCTATCATGATGCTTGCCCAAAAATAATTGATGTGAAAAGAATTGCTACAAAAACTTATCTAAAATAGTAAATTTTAGACAATTTGTCATATATTATATAAACAACCCACAATTTTTAGCAATTTGGTTACAAAAGTGTAGGTAAAAATGTAGGTGATGTCCATAAGTAAAAGGAAAATGGCACAAAGCTTATTATTGATGGAGTTTTGAAGTATATCTGGAACAAGTTATTAAGAAAAGGACTTACTTTTCCTAATCGAAATTTGATAGGACAAAATGTTTTTTTTACTGAAAAAGTAGGACTTACAAGAATTTTGCGATTTTTTTTCTTGTCCATGATAATCTGTGCCAATGCATTAAGCTTTCTATCTAACAATATGGATTTGGAAGGAACTACACCTTAAACTAGAATGTTTTTCAAATTTACACGCTTCAAAATAAAGGTATGGAACTAAGGAAACTAAATTTACCAAAAAGGTTATACAGCATAAAGCTAATAAATTACCAAACAAGTTATACAGCACTGGATCTTACTCGCTACACAACATTTGCCACAAAATGCAACTATTTCAACCAGTTTCACCAAATTATGAAGAGTTTTGCAATGGGTATAGTTTCACCAAACTAAACCGACTGAAATTTCACTTGATCGTTGGTATGAAGAATTTTGCAATTGTTGGTATGAAGAATTTTGCAATGGGTATAATTTCACCAAATTATACCCATTGCAAAAAAGATCAAACTTGTAAGTTTGATATGATGCAAGGCACAGAAAAACTTCTACCTATACTGTTTCGTATGCTTCAAAAGTTTGCTGTCCATTTACCACCAAACCTTAGGAAGGCCTGGAATTGTTTAGCACTTTTAACTTGAATGGCAATTATTATATATTTCTTCAGTATGTAGATATTGCAATTTCTTCAATCTCAAATATTCTGAGCATTCAGGTAATTGAAACCACCAATAAGTTATTACCGCAAGGCCATCAACAAGACACTGATGGATATAGCCAGATTTATAATTGTAAAAGGTGTAGTTTGTCACTGTCCCGTCTGCAGAAAAGCCATAATTTTTCTCTGATGTGCCATATCGTACTTGGCTGGATCCTGGTTCATCAGCTGTTACCCATGAGATTATGACAGCCTTCCCGTCGTAGTCACCCTGTGTAATGTGTACCTAAAGCAGTGTATACAATTAGTCAATCTTAATAGTACCATCGTCATTTAACCAAAAAAGGGCGCATTATGTAGATGTGTTAGCAATTTTATTGACAATTACACAACAAAAGGATCAAGTGAATTTCAGGTGGGAAAATTTTTTCATACCAACGATCTTTAACAAGGGCAACTAATGAATCCTATAGGCTGATTTATACAACTACATTGTTGTTACTACCACCCTACACTTGAAATGTCTCTGTATCATATTCAATTACAAGGTGATTTTCATTTGGCATTAGAAAAAACTCGCATTAAATTTTACCAAAAAGCTTATTACTTCATACTCTTATGAAGTATGAAATAAGAACAGACTACAAGCACGAAACACAAGTTTTCGCAAAAACTTAAAAGGCAATTAGCACAATAAAAAAGTTCTTATTATACGAGTAGTGAACCTAGGGGCAGTAAAATATGGGGTTCGACAGTTAAAGAGTTAATACGAATCACATTTTGATTTTCATCTACTGCCGCTATGGAAGAGCTTCCAATGACTTAAAAATCAGGACACACGAAAACTTACTTGCTGTGGTGCATTATGGCCCTCAGGAACTGCAAAAACTTTATCATCGAGAGGAATGTCTACTGATGGCCACTCCGAACGAATAAATGTACTTGTGACACCAGCATTTCCACTGTCCACAAAGCTGAAGAAAACAAAAAATGTAAGCAGGAGTTGAAGAAAGATGGACCCTCTTCCCTTAACCTTCCTCATAATAGCTCGGTCAATCAGCCGAAAAAGAGACAATTTGCTGCATCCACAAATAAAAAGATACTGTAGTTATCAGTGAATCAAGACCGCAGAATAGTACAGATATCATCATTTACTATTTAACTTGAATTTTTTTTCTTCTCTATATACAGACCCAAAAAAAAAAAAAAAAAATTGAACTTGATTTTATTTCAGTTTCAGACTCCCTCACAATCTTTCAGGCACCTTTACGGCCCATATAAATGAACAGTAACATTGAGAAGAACATTATAACATGTAAGGTTCAAAGTTCTCAACCTAATAATCTAGGAATACAACTATCCAGTATGACAGGGTAATATATTTATCGCATAGGAGATCTCAATATCAAGAACATATAATTCAATGTCACCAAAACTGAATATTAGCATGCAGAAGCCTTATGATGAAACAAATTTGATAATGAAATCTGAACTACAGACAATACGAAGATTCATCAATTATAACGATTTACGAACAAATTCTCGAGCTCTTTATCCACCAAAATTTAGATTCGAATCACTTTACCCAACGGTTCAATCAAAATGTAGTGAAAGGGTTACCTCAGAAATCACTTGGTGCAGAGAGAGAGAGAGAGAGAGAGAGAGAGAGAGAGAGAGAGAGAGAGTTGCAATCAACGTGAAGAGTATCAGATCAGTCTCTGGGTGCCATAAAGAAGAAGCTGAGGGGCGTAAATTAGCAGGGGACCATGCCGAAGGCGTAAGGTAGAATCAACCGCATTGTCAGTGTTGTTCGTTGATAAATCGATACCGTGGGCGTGGAGATGCAGAGAAGCAAACAGATGGCGGGCCAGAAACATCTACGTGGCCGGGTCCCATTGGTCACAGCAGCGGTGATCGCGACCCATGGGAATATCCGGTTCCGTGCTTTCTAAACAAATTTATTTGATTAATGCTGTCATTTAGATCGACGGTTGGTTCTATTAAATATTAAAATTTAATAATTATAATAAAATTATATTATTAAATTAATAAATTATATCAGAATTTTAAATCTTAATAGTATTTTTTAATTTCTTATACTAATCTGGTTTATTTAATATGATGTCGCATAAATAAAATATTTAAAATTAAGACACCAACATCTCTTAATCAAACATATATGCAATTTTTTTTTTGTGTAAAAACAAGTTAAAAATTCCTCTAAGTTGACAAGAATTTTTGTTCGTCTCTTATATTTTATTGATAAAATAAAATACTAATTAAAAATATTAATTGTGTCAATTTTAAAAATTTTTGTGTTTTGATACATATTTAACTCATTTATGATTTAGGTTAGCATGTCATTTTATTTTTTGAATTTGTGTCAAAAAAATAATTATTGTTTACTTATTAAAACTTTGAATTTATCTCTTTTGGCCAAACAAGCATTGGGATTGCTAAAGTAGCCGAATTCATTGCTTGCGGATCTATATCTTTTCTTCAGAAGAATGGATAAGGAATGGGGGTAAAGATGATGGGTCTAAAAAGGGATGTCTAATGTTGGTGTTTGATGATGTATATAATGTGTTTATTTATTATATGTCAAATATTTAATATAGTAATTAAGAAGGAGATTTAATACACATAAACAAACACAAATAAAGTAATTCGGTCAGGGTGATCTACTCTACTATAAAGAGCTATGGTAAGTTGAGTGTTTTATTGCTCACGGGGTATAGAGTACTCATGTAGAGATTTGAAAAGTAAGGATAAAATTTTTAATTTTGCCAGTAGGACATTATTCATGTACCATTTATTAGTAGGACACTACAAATGTATCATTTAGATATAAGTTATGTTTAGGAACATAATTTGAGTATGTCATAGAAGAGAAATATGCTAAGAATGTTAAAATACACCTACTGTGTGAATTTGAGTCTAAACGAAAATAGTTTCAAAAATTGGACAAAAAGGGTATCTCGGGCGGCCAAGGTAGGGCCGGCCAAACTCGGCCACTAGCGAAAATATATATTTTTTAAAATTTTCATTTAAAATAATTTTAAGAATTTTAGTTAAAATAAAATGTCAAATTGAGGCGTTTTAGGATGAGTTGTAGTGTAACGGGATCCTGGATTTATCAAGGGCAAAAGAGTCACTTTGTACCTTTTCCCCTCCACTATAAATACAGCCCATTTAGTGTAAAAATATCAATTTTTGGGCTGAAAAAAGCCATTACACGTTTTTGGAGGAAAAGAGGAAGAAAACTCTAGATTTTTCAAGCTTCAAGCCACCAAAACTCATTCTTAGGCCAAGATTCTCACAAGATTTCCTTCTAAGAAGTTGTTCCTCTTAATAAGGGCTACATTCTCACTGATCGGTTCGACTATTAAGCGAACACAACTCTCTTGGTTTGAGAAAAACTATTTTAGGTATGATATTTTGCTAAGTTGAGAATATATTTAAGTTTTCTTGTCTTCCTATGTGTTGATTGGATTATTTAGGTGTCTACTTGATGATAGAAAATTATTTAGTTAATAGTTACTTTGAAAACTTAGAATTTATGGTTTAAGTACTTTTGAGTTTTTTTTGAGTTTGTTGACAATTTGTTGCTATGGTAAAGGTGTACATTTTTTATGTGTTGGATTATTATATTCTAGCTTATATTCATGTAGAAAAACTCTTGTGGTTTGAGAGTTATGATTTATTACATAATTTAGTAGTTGTGTAATTGTAAATTCTTTGAGAAATTGTGAAAGTAATGAATATGAAACTTGATTATATGTTTAATTCATTGAATGATGCTTCACATTCATGTAAATAGGGTGTTTGATGAAATGTTTCATAGAATGCACATTGAAAAAAATTAAGGCATCTTGGTATACATGAATCCTTGGAACATAATGTAGGTTGAGCACTTGGTGCCATGCATTATGAGGATGTGGATCTTGTGGTGAAAAATCCAAAATCTAGACAATAACAATACTCGCGGGCAGACGAGGGGTGGACCGTGAAGCGAGACATGGGTGACATAGAGTTGCATGTGTGTGTCATGCATATTAACACTGGATGACATTGAGGAATTATGAGGTTGTAGTTTTTAAAATGTACACTTGCACATGCACGCCTTAAATTTGTTCTTAGCATTAGTCTTTTGTCATACCAGCAGTTGAGCTGACTCATTCGTGGGATATCATATTACAGATGAGGCTTCCGATACTTGAGACTTGAGGAAGCTGGGTCCATGCAAAGACATCGACGTTGTGGCGTAAAAGCGAGGCCATATCATTTCTCTCTGCGTCGTTGAGTGACTCTCCTACCAAAAAGTACTTATCACCGTTATTTGGGTTCAGGAGAATCTTCACCAAGGCCTTAGTAGACGGGTCGACCGGCTCTGTAATGGGCTCGTCCACTCCCAGGCGACCGCCCTATGATTGCTATTTGGCAACTACCGCATCGGGGTCACGCTCCTGACTTCGGTCACTGACTCCCATTTTCATCGCGGCATAGAAACAGCTTTTCGCTGACGCCTGATCACCCCGAATTTCCATTATGCCCTGCGGTGTTGGAAACTTTATCTTTTGGTGATAGGATGAGTGGACCGCCTTTATTGCATGTAGTCATGATCTCCCCATAATAGCGTTGTAAGTGGAGTCGGAGTCCACCACCACAAATTCCACTAGCGTGGTCACCACCCCCGCCCGTACCATGAGGGTGATTTTTCCAAGGAGCAGGGCGCTGGAACCATTAAAGTCGATGAAGGGGATTTTTACGGGTTCTAGATCCCCCTGAGAGAGTCCCATATTTCGGAAGAGGTGATCGTACATTACCTCGGAAGAACTGTCCCATCTTGACGGATTCTTCTTCCACCTGGGCATATTTGTTGTTTTGAGCCATCAAGTTTTTCATGTCCGCCGGAGCCTTCTTGGTCAGCGATTTGTACAAATCAGTGTCCCGGGACAGCCCCAGCCTAAATGACGCCGCGACCAATACCTCCGAACATGCTTCCACCTCGTCACTTCATCCTAATACCGAACGACATATATTCGGAGTGTCTCTCCCCCTTTCCGCCTAAGTGTCAACAGAGCACTGATGTCTTTTAGTTTCTTACTACTGGTAATGAATCGAGCTATGAAGAGCTCCGTCAATTGTTTCCAGGACCTAATGCTCTCAGGAGCAAGGTTCTCATACCACCTCATGCCCGTGTCCCTTTGGCTCATGGGAAAAACTCGGCATAACACCCTTTGGTCAGTATCATAGATGGACATCAATTGTCTGTATTGCCAAAGGTGGCTCTCAGGATTGGTTTTCCCATCATAGACTTTGAACCGTGGGACGGTAAACTTCTTCGGTATCTCGGCCTCCTTGATAGCCCGGACGAACTGTGAGATAACTTCGTCGGAGTAGACCTCGGGCTCATAGTTGCGCTGAGCAATGAAGGGGACCCTGAGATCCTTTTTTGATCTTTCTTCTCGAAGCCTTCGGGGTATGGACTCTGCTTGTGATTTGGCGGCTCAGACGCCCACGAGTATCCCTCGGCGCAGGTCCTACCTAGACAGGCTTGTCTTCTGGCCCGATTCTGACTTTCCCTTGGAGGCCGAGAACCCTCCTTGGCGGTTACGTCCCTCGGGCGAGTGCCTAATCCAATATTTCCTGGAGGGCCAATGCCAGGGGGGTCTAGATAGGTTCTGGCTAGGCACCTGATCCCCGAACCCGTGACTATGCTCACCCGTGCTCGCAGAATGCTCGAAGTCGTCAAGACATTTACTGGACTTTGGTGTTTACCCTTTCAAGCTTCTTAATGCATTTGTCCATCCGCTTTTCCACTATGTCAATGATGTCGTGGGCTATGAGGTCACGCCCCCCAAGGCCCTGATCCATAGGGAGCGTTCTTTGCGAAGAATGCCCCACCCTATTTGATTGGCCCAATGAACTCGGCTCCAGAACCATTGGAAGTCGGACAGGCTCTACGTTCCTGGCCCATACACCTGCTCCCTCACCCTGAGATCGAGTGTTCACCATCAGACGATCGCTACCGAGAAAAATGTCTTTGTTCCCATAGACGGCGCCAAATTGCACAGGATAATTCTTGCAATAGTAAGAGATAACGATCTCTAAGCTGACGAACTTGAAATAACAGGGTCATAAAAAAAAGGGGGCCAAACTAGCGCCCGACTAATCCCCTCCGAAGTTTAAGTCAGTATAAGGTCGAAGGGTTTTGCTCAATAGACTATTTTTTTGTTTCAAGTTTGCGTATCTTTGTCCATTTTTCTGAGGAGTATTTATACTTGAATTGCAATGATTGTCAAAGATCTCCAGTCCCATCTAGACATCTTACATCTGACACACCATTCCTCATGCAATGAGTGTTTTTTACTCACGTCTCCTTCTATTGAATGCTAGGAAAATGGGGTAAATGCTCGGTCAAATGCCGAGCATTTATGCCACTCCCTGAGTACCCAAATCTCCCAGATCGACATCCGACATCAACTGAGCATTGAATACTCGGGGGGGACAACTCCTCGGGAGAGCCAATCGCGGCGTTTCAGCGCATCAGCCATTAATGCTTAGTCATCATGACAGTAGGCTTAGACTTCTAGAGGACAGGTGCGGACAAGCGCACATTTATTTGTCGTATCACTATTACTCATTCCGTCATAAATGAGGGGTCACATCGCATTAAATACGATGTCAATTGTCGTACTCAACTGCTCCGTGTTACCATACATCGGCTTACCTCCTCGGCACCCTTTGGATATCCCAACGGTTCTATTATTCCACGTGTCAACCCGGGACTGTAGGGTCACCTAGAGTC